CCCCCCCCCCCGGTGATGAGTACGCGCGATTTTGTAATCGCCGCGCGACTTTCGCCTCGCGTGACGGCACGATAATCGCACAGATGGACCATCTCTGAATCGCGTGCCGAATTATTTTCCAAATCAATGAATTAAAAGTAGAATTACGTGCGAGAGTAATTCGGCGTGATTCCGTGTCGTCATTTGAGAAAATTTGTCCCGCGTAATAATATCGTGAAACGTTTCGACGGCGCTCTCTGACCGTTTCATTCGTACATCAAATTGTTATATAGTATGTATTATTAATTAGTCACGTTTTGCGTTCGCGAGCGCTTTGATCATTTAACTAATATTTATCCGAGTTAATCGACCGAGATAACTTTTCACTTTTACTTCACGAAATTCACGAGGGTCTCATCCAGCGTCGGTGCTGTCCCGTCACGTCGAATTATCCACGTCGCGACAGCGGGTCGTGGCGGCGATGATTTCAAGAGGAAGCGCGACCGAGGGGGAAATTCTTAATGAAACTGCCGCTCGCGATAACATCGTCGAATTTCCGTCGGAGCGCGGCAATATCTCGGCGTAGTGATTTGCGTCCTCTTGAAGAGAACCCGCGTATCACGCGACATACAAGGCAAGGTCCGGCACGCGAGATTTTACTTAGCGCGCGAGCCGCTTCATTAGCACGCGAGTCTCGCCCCTGTCCGAGACCAGCTCGACAGCAGTCGTTTCTCTCGAATGTAGGTGCATAACGCTCACCGTCTTATCAGTCTCCCCCTTTCGAGCTAGTCTCGCCATTGAACGTTCGTACGGAAAAGGAGAAAAAAAAGTACACGCGTATTTCTGCCATAATCGAGAATCGTTAAGAGAACCGCGCCGACGTTGACGGCCAGACGGAATCGTGTCGAACGGACACACACATTTTGTCAGTAAAACAGACGACGTGTGTCAGGTAGATACCTATTCTGTTACTTTTAACGACAGTTCGTTATCGTTATACTCAGTCGTTGCGCAGCAACTTTTTCACAATGTAAAATACCCGCGTAACGACATCCCTAGCTAGTGAAGTCGTTGAAGAGTTACAGAATGGGCCTACGGATTCCTTAATATCTGTTTAAATCTATGTATACAGGAAAGGTCCCAAGAGGGAAGGTCAATATCCCGGGAAGTGACTCTTTAAGTAAAAACGTGTTTATGAACACGTGTCTTATTCTTTCACGAGTATTTTCTTCAGGGGTGCCAAAGGAGTCGCGGGTTATCGCCGTGTCGTGATCCATCGCTCAATGCCATTATGGATCACGACATGGCGATAACTCGGCAAACCCTTTGGCACGTGTCTTATTCTGAACGGTTTTCGAGATTGAATTTGCAGTTACGAAATTACTATTAAGGAAGGCGATGTACTACGTACATTTTCTAATAATCCATTGTTCGAGCGAAGACGTTTTTAGAAGAAGTTTATAATAAAATTTTCCAAAATCCCACTGTTCGAATGATCTCGGAGACCGTTCAGAATACGATACACATTTCTAGTTCAAAACGACTGATATATCGTCACCTCCAAGAATATTAATCTTTCTACCTGGGACACCCCATATATGTATGACACGCCGCAAGGGAATTGTTGACGCTTTCCTTTTGGTAGAAGATCGTGAAAGTCGCGTGGCGTGAAAATCGCTTGATTACGACGATCATCTCACTAGCGATTTAATAGCGCGTTATTAATGAAGATCACCGTCTAATACCCATGGATTACGCGCGGAATTACAGCGTGAATTTTCGATCGATCGTTTTATCGCGCCGACTCTCCGTGACCGCCTGTGATCATTGTTTGTATCACGGTGAGAATCCGCTCGAGCGTATTATGCGACCTTAACGAGACCGCGAGATCGTCGGCGGACGATAAATTCGCGTTGACGTCGTTGAATTTCACGAGCGGAGAGATTATCGATGGTGGAATCGAGAGGGCTGATAGCGCGCCGGGATGGCCGAAATTTGTCAGCCGCCGGATCTCGACGATAACCACGAGGTTACGCGTTTAAATTTTTCATTTCGCCGAGAGTTCTCTCGGCGAGAGTGAATAACGGCGCTCGTTTACGCGCCGCGAGTTCATTTCAGCCTTTCAGTTCGCCTTTTCCGTTTCTCTCTCTCTCTCTCTCTCTCTCTTTTATTTCTTTCTTTTTTTTCGCGCTCACGAAAGTCGGACAACGATAAAACGACCGATGTAATTCCGCGACCCGAATTCAATACTCGATATGGCGCCGATAATGGGCCGCCGCCGTTCGCTCGCGGCAAATAATATTCATAAGCGGGATTTGCATAAAGCGAGCGTGTTCGCTCTCTCTCTCTCTCTCTTTGGAATGAATAATTTTCGTGGGAGTGAGAGGGGATTTTGCGACGTCGCGCGCGCAAACGTAAAAATGTTTGACTGCGGCGCCGCGCGCTGCGAAAATCAATACGCGAGTTAAACTTAACCCGTTTGGCTTAATGGGTCGGTTGGCCATTTTGCGTTTGCAGTACATTTATAAATTCGTCAAGATTAAATTCGGCGAACCAAACGCGAGTGTCCATTATGCAATTTGCAGACGGAAATCCGGTGTACACAAAAAGCGCACGATGCCCTCTCTCTCTCTCTCTCTCTCTCTCGCTCTCTGCCGCAAAAGCCGAAGCTGAAATATATTTGAAGCCGCTCGATAATATTTTTTCGATATTCTCTTTATACGCACCTGTTCGTATTTCTCTAGTTCTTGATGATAAATTTGCCTAATCTGAGCAAGTTTGGCCCTATAGTCCGAATGCTCGATCGCGTTGTCCGGTTGCCCGGGTGGACCGGCCGCAGCTGCCGCGGATGCCGATGCAGCGGCCCCCGCACCACCGCCCTTCTCTGGTCCAGCGACTCCCTCGGCGATCAGCATGTTATCCAGCCTCATTAGCTGCGGGTCTGGCGGCTCCTCTTCTTGCGTGTTTCTCAGCGACAAAACTGAAAACAGACGAAAGCGCCAAGTCAAAATGACAATATATTCATGTACATAGGGGAATGTATTTAATATTATCCCTCTGAATCTGAATCAGCGGATAATCACTGATATCGGTATGCCATTTGGTAATCAGTGAATGAAATGTCAGATTCTTAACCTGGCTGATCTTTATTACGTGATCTAACTAACCTTGTTTTAGTAATAATAAATTCAATGAATAATGCTGTTGGAAAATTGAAATTAACACGGAAATATCAGTATTTTAGTTATATAACGCTCAAACGTTCTTCCTTTTTTAGTTGACTACTGATTTTATTGATTAGCAACTTAACCAAGCGTGCGACTGAATAATTAGCGACTACTCACTGATTCAGATTTAGAGAGTAGAAAAAAAGAATTTCCAAAAAGTTTCCAAAGGACAATTATTCGACAGAAATGTGACTTTTAAAGTCACGTTTCTTGTGTATTTCACGCTCTTCGACTTCTCTCCGTACTCTGAATTATTTCAAACGGTTTGATTTAATTCGATTTCAGAAGGATCTCAAAGAGACAGAGGGGAATAGATCTGCATGTATTCGCGTAAAAATAAAATGGGTTGCTTGCAAATCGATCCTAGTTCGGGGTCGCGCGTTTGTCGATCATAAAAGAATCAATTTCGCCTCCGGTCGTCTCGTCTCCCCAAGCGTATCCGTCAGTCTTCTTCTCGTCTTGAGGGCCCGTTGCACGCAGTGGTTTAGAACGGGTAGTTCTCCACCGGTGTAACAGCGGTTTTATTGTACTTTTATGGCGCATGATGGAGCTGGACGACCCATAAAACCGCAGAGCGAGGGACATTCTACACTCTGCCTTTCGTACATCCCCCCCCCTCCTCCCCGCCCCGGTTTTCCCACTATCCCTCGCGCGAAACTCCCTGCCACCACGAAGATGTTACCACCCTGTCGTCTTCGACAGTTAGCACCCTTACCCGAGGCAAATACTGGCATGCAAGCGAAACAAGAAACTCTCAGCTTCTTTGACGAAGCGTCAAGAGGAATCTCTTCGTCAGAGAAGACTGAACTTCTGGCGTACAAGATATACCTTGTTTGCAACAAGATTATATATCTAGTCAATCCGAAAAATCTTGACAAATTACCGACATATACGGTAGAATAAAAAATATAAGCTAACTGTATCTAGAGATGCAAATAACTTTGAAACAATTTATCGATTATCTTTGAAAATATAAAGATGGAGGTTACGACAAAATTGTTTCATGTCTGTCGTCAATTTTTCCGAATATTCCAATATTATTTCTTACGTTTCTCCAAGAAAATTCAAACGATAATTTCACGTTATTACCTTCCTTCGGTCCCGATGTGACTTCACGAATGAATTCGCGTTAGCAATTGCCCAAGTCGCTACTTGAATTCGCAGAAAACTTTTCTCGTCCGCCACTTTTCGCCACAGCTCGCGAAAAAAGTCCCCGGAGAGACGAAAGAAAGGGGAACGAACGAGACTTCTCTCGTGGACTCGCGGAGGCGTGAAACGAATGCGCAGAGCTAATGCATTTATACGAAGTGTAACAATTATGCCGGTGGAAAAGAGGGGCTAGACTTCTGTTTCTTCGGCAGGATTCTAGGGGGATTCTATGAGAGAAGACGCGTCGCTTTAAATGACAGGGGAACATTTTTTTCAAGTAAAAAACCGCGAGACTCGTAATTTCTGAATTTTTTTAGAAACCTCTTTCGGAGCTGACGCGTCTTCGCGACAGAAAATATTTTTACGGGAGAGCAAAGTAAGATATTAATTTCGATAAACGAGAACGAATCTGTCATTTCTGGACATTTGGGCGAGCGCTAATTCATTATTCCTTTAGTGACGTTTCGAACGAACGATGTTGGAAATTGAATGACGGTGGAGAAAGGTACGGTCCGATCAAACGAGAGCTCCAAGAACGAAGTCAAATAAGTTGCGAAATCGTAGCACGTTTCCGCGGCACTTCCACGGGTGACTTAAGAAGGGGTTAACGACAGTCAACGCAGCCATTAAAACTTTCGTGCAGTGCCGAGAACTTTTCACGGCGCTGTGGGTAATTAAAAATGAAAAACCTCTGGACGCGGCGTCTCTCGCCGAGGGCGGCGGAATAAAACGCCGGTTTACGGCGATGCGGAAGAACTTGCACCATTGAAAGTTAAAAGGCCAAGCAATTTCGATCGCTGGATACGAGCGCTCGTTTTAAGGTAGAAATAAATGTTTATCCTCTTATCTATGATAAAAGATTACATCATTTTTAATCCTTGTAATCGAAGCTTATTTTACAATTTATAATAACATTATGTGGAAAAAAGAAAGACTCTTGAGAGAAAGAAAGAAGAAAAGATAAATCCCACAAAGCATATAATAATAATCTAAAATACATATTCTTATACAATTACGAAAGCCGTGGTCTTAAAGTCACTATAAATAGACGAAATATCCGTGAAACTTAAGCTAAATTAGCGCCAGTTGGTACATATTTTATATCAACTTTACACTTTAAGTATATTTAATTAGCCTAACCCCTGACAAAGGTTTGAGATAGTTGCACGCACTTTCGAATTTGAACTAAATGACGAACAAATTGTGATGCTTTATCCGTTTAGATGACTTTAGCGTGTCTTCTACAAAATTATTCCTTCCTTTAAGATCCTTTCCCCCTCGTGATAAAAATTGAAAATTCAAAAGGGTTAAAAGAACTGTGAGTGGAATTGATGTCAAATGTATTACATACATTATTACGCATACATGTATTACAATGTTTCGAAATTCAGATGGCGACGGTACTTAGTCCCCTTATGTATCCAATAACAGAGAGAGAGAGAGTCTAAGAATACGTGCAAATTAAACGTTCTTTCGGAATTATTTTCGTGTTCACGCGGGAGAGACGGGCAGACGGCGGGGGTGGCTTACGAGCAATAATCTGGCTATTAGGGGGTGTAAGGGGCGACTCTGCGTGCTGCCAAGCTGAAGAGGGACCAGGGATGGCAGCAGCCTCCTGCGGGGGTCCTTACAAGCGCGTAAACTCAGTTTTACTAGCAGTTAACATTTTACGACTCAGACACGGTCTGCTCGAGCTGTTTGCTCTTGCTCTCGTTGCTCCCCACGTCTCTGTCTTTCTGCCACATTTTCCTGTTATCCCTCTCTCTCTCTCTCTCTCTCTCTCTCTCTCTCTCTCTCTCTCCCTCTATCTACGATTGACACGTGTGCGACGCGCGGATCTGTATATGGGACACCCAGTACATGTAAAGTACCCATACCTGCTAAAACGTAACGTCGTCGTTCTCGAGGGTAGTTTGTAGAATCAAGTACGTTAATACACCTTATTGAAGAGAGGCCTATTCGCAGGCTAATTGCTCGAGTAATTTGCGCGCCGCGTAAACCTTGAAAAATAACGCGTTAATGTTAACGCTAATGTCGACTTTCATTACGACGAGTAGCGAAAGAGGTATTCTTGTAAATTATTCATGTAAATGATTAAATTGCTTGTCAGTTTAATACGCGACATTACTGTTCTCTCTATTCGATGACAGCGTAAAAAAGATTTCGCCTTTCGCGCAATTTGCAGAATCAGATATGTATATAAATTCGCACGGAAATATTGAAGCACAAAAAGATCTGCTTCGATAGAAAAATGGGACAACCTCTTATCCATCAATAAGATTTATTATCATCGGGGACTGTTTTAAATTGTAATTGTCCTATATGTAAAATCGTATCCAGATCGAGCGACGGAACGGACGAACGAATAACTCGGTTCAATGAATGCGAACGGCACGATAGCAGTAGCTCAGGCAACTTCAAGGTATCACAAACGGATTATAATTTCATGGGTGAAAACCTCGGCTCGCCTCCGCCATGTTCGGCCCGCTTTTGTAATAAATGTCGAGCTTCCTCGATCGCCCCTTTTAACATCCGAGCCGATTTTAGAATCGGCCTCGTCGTATTTCCTCCTTCACGTGTGTGTGTGTGTGTCTGTCTACCCCCGCGTCTGTTCCTCTCGCTATCCGCCGTCACCGCGTTGTTTTCCACCGCGGAAGAAAGCGGGATAGCAGCCGACAACAACCCTTTGTTACCGTGCCTTATCTTAATTGCTTTCACGGGTTCTCCCGTTTTAGATCAATACACACCGCCGACGTTCTGCCACCAGTCTTCTCTGTTGCTATGCTTCGCTCCACGAATCTAAATTATCCCGAGGGTTGTGTTTCGTCGCACGTGGATCCCGGCCGTCCGTACTCCCTCCCCCCCCCTCTCTCTCTCTCTCTCTCTCCCTCTTGCATATTTTAAGAGCGCCGGTTGGTGCCCCGCTGTTAAGACTCGCCAGGATGGTCTGAGTTATCGCACACCCGGCGTCGTTCGCGAGATTAGGGCAGCTTTTCTCTACGACGTTGTCGCCATTTTAACGCGGATGTGGAAACGAGGTGCGGAAGAACGTCAGAATGCCGAAGACGTCACTCGATGTGCAACTCGATATGTGCGCAAACGCGAGATGGCGAGACAGTTGTTGAAGTTAATAAGTTTGTACATTAGAAAGATGCACAAAACTAGAAGATAAAATTATTAAATTATTAATTATTATCTCCTTTACCGTGCCTAATATAAAATTATACATTTAATACGGCTGATTCAGCGTTTCATGTATAATATTAACTTCATTTCTCTATTTTCCTCATCTTCCGCGCCACCTTTCTCGCACCTTTATTCCCTAATCCGTGCGAAGGGGGGGGGGAGGGGGTCGAGACGCGAAGAGGGGGAGGAAAAAGGGAAGGTGGCCGAGATGGCTGCTCTTTTAATTCGAGGGTGAATCCCAGGCGTAGGGGCGCGATACGTTCGCTTTCCGAGAGGCAACTGAAAGAGGAGGGAAGAAAGACGCCAATGTCTATGCCCCCCTGGGATCCGATATCGACGCCCCTGCCGTAAAAATATACCGAGCTCTCCTGATTTACGAAGGAAATCGAGACGGCGAGCTCGTGTTTCGAGACTCGTC